GGAAACACGTGAGGGGGGGGGGAAGAGAGAGAGAGGGAGAGAGAGAGCCGGCACATCACGTGTTTCCCCCTTCCCTCTCTCTCTCTCTCTCTCTCTCTCTCTCTCTCTCTCTCTCTCTCTCTCTCTGTCTCTCTGTGTGGGGCATTCCACAGAGTGAGGAAAACGCGAATGAATTGTAGTGGAAGATTCATTCCCATTTCACATCAGTAGCGCAGCAACCCAGAGAGAGAGAGAGAGCGAGAGAGAGAGAGAGAGAGGCCACACGTTTGACGCGGCCAGTCTCTCTCTCTCTCTGTGCCTTCAGGGGGGGGCAGCCCACAGAGTGACCCGATTCACCCGAATGAATCATGCCACCTTGTAGCGGAAGATTCATTCCCATTTTCCACAATACTTGCACAACAAACGAGAGAGAGAGAGAGAGAGAGAGAGAGAGAGAGAGAGAGAGAGAGAGAACCCTCCCCGCCCTTGAATTTTGCTGTTTCGTTTTCTTTTTTATTTTCTTGTTTTTTGAAGTGGTATCTTACTATCTCGTTTTTTTTTTTTTGCGGGTTATTTTAATTTCTAAAGAAAAACAGCCCCGACTTTTTTCTATAGCAGGGCGAGGTACTTGTGGGAAGTTGTGGTGAAGACCCCAGTTTTGTGAAGTTACCCCATACCCCCCCGCCCCCCCCCTAACACACACACACACACGCACACTCACGTGCGCGCGCGCACACACACACACACACACCCCAGTGCCGTACCCCCGTTCACCATTCATGGGGTCTGTGGACGGAGACCGGTCATGGAGTTCACGACACGGGAGTTCATGGAGTTCACGGAGAGCGGTATTTTTTTTTTTGACTGGGGGCTATGTTTTTGTTTTTATAGGAGGGTGGGGGACATCGAAGGGTAACTCCCTATAATTTATTCAAAAAAAAAAATCACAATTTTTTTTTTTTTAAATTAAATATGAAAAACAAAATTCAACCAGCCAAAATAAGCATTTTCGTTTGCTATTTTGTAGGTAATTTCGATTTTTTTTAAATGTCATCACTCTGTGGGACTTGGGGCGAATGTACC